AAAATTCACGAGTACAACTCGATTTTCCGAAGATCTTCTTTCTTTTCATAATCTTATTTAATTTAATATTGTTTGATCAATTCCGCCACAATTACATATTAATTTACGCTCACTAGCCAAGAATTAAATGTTTAACCATAAAATGCTTTGAGCAGTTGGGCGGGGAGGATAGATATTTAGTGGGCACTACAAATCATTTCTGCCATGCCAACAAGACCGACAGTTGAGGTCGTGATATTAAAAAATACTACGGCAGCTCAACTTGTGGTTTCAGTGGCTGTAAACCTCCTCCGAGTTCTGGTTTCTAAAGTTCTGCGATAATTTAAAAAAAGACTCAGCTGGAGTATAGCGAAGACACCTCGTGTGTGGGATCAACCTCAATCTTACTTCCCGCTATCGTTCTGTTTCCCAGGCGACAATTGGTAAAATTGAGTTCGAGCGCAACCGCTTACAAGGTATTTACCTAGGTCCTCGAGTGCCACGCCTACGAGCAAGTCCACCAGTGAATCTGAACCAATTGTCTGATACAAAAATCTTGATTCAGGCTCAAGTTTGACGCAACATCTATACCCCTCCTGGGGGACCTAAATACGACTATAGCTAAACTAATTTCGCGATATTAACGACAAAAAGCCGACTAAACGGCAATAAAAAAGCTAACAAATTTAGTGTAAAAAATAATAAAGTGAGCAGCTGAACACTGTAATACAACGACTAACAGACCAAAAAATCACATAGTTTGGGCGTATGTGTAGGGAGAAATTGATGCGTACGCCACCGAAGCGATGGATGGATGGACCACATGACAGTTCGACCGACTGTGTGTCCCAAGTGCTAATCGATCTGATTTGCAGAACTTCAAGAATAGCCAGCCGGACTTGCTGGTACAACGGCAGTAAGGTAAGCTTGAAGAGAAGACTGAGTGCAAAAGACGTACCCTTGGCAGGCTCCATTTTCGCTACTCAGGGAGTTGGCCTGCAGCAACCGATCATCGCGCTCCATCCCCAGTGCTTTGGTGGGTGTTCGATGTCGGGCACAACAAACACCCGATGTCTGCCAACGGTCGTCTTCCCGTCTGTCCTCCAGCTGGTGACCCCTAGGGTACTCGACGGCGATTGGCGAAACCGCCGGTCGTAGCTCCTGACTTGCAGTCAAATTAGGCGTGCTCACACTATTTGCATGCAATGACTGCTGCAACAGTAGGGTCTGTCGATACTCTGCCAACAACCGG